ATAAATGATGGGTTTAAGCTTTCAAATGTTTTTTTTACAGCGTTTCACTGAGTGGCAGGTTGATAAATTAAAATTACAGTTGGAGCATCAGGCCTCAAAGCACAAGTGCTTCAGATGACAAAAATAGCTCTGTGGAAACTTTGTGTACTCTCTAGAGAAGCAGCCTGGAGGGGCTTGGGAAAGAATAAGGCAAGTGCAGTTGCTAAAGAAATCATTAATTTTGTGGTAGTGTTGTTTGAGTCTATAAAACAACAAAAATGGATTTTTTTTTTTAGGAGAGGGAAATTGGCTTTATCTCTTTATTCCTGTTTTCCTTGGAGATGTATAGAAAATTACACTCATACTATCAAGACAAGCTTTGAGTTGCCCATCAGTGATTCCAGATGGTAATGTTTAAAGCTTAAGGACAATATCTTATTACCCTTCTCTTGATATATATAGTGCAGCTAAACCGTAGCTTAGACTGTCACCATGGCCCAATACAGGCCAATAGAGAAAAAACCGCCACTCTGACACGTATTTTTTCTGATGTTAAGAAAGAAAATGATTGTTGCGGACACTTTTCATTGTTACATTGTTCATTTCTATCTTACATCTTTTCAAGTATATCTAAAGTACTGTAGGTAGTTCTAAGTGGTGCTATGATGACATCCTTTAGATAATGTCATCCTTAAGATAAAATAAAAAGCAAACCCATGACTATGCACACTACAATGGGTCCATTTCTCCTATTAGATGAACACTTCAGTATTTTTGTATAGTTTCTGCCATTCTTTGGTTTCTCCTGTTTTTTCAGGAACCTTTCAAGCTTGCTAAGAAATGCTGGGCTTGGCACAGTAACTTCTCTCTGCTGCCATCTCCCCAATGTATTCTCCCAGGAATGGCTTTCTTAGCACAACTGTATTAAAAGCTTGTCTCTTCTTAAACAGGAACGTGCCTTCCATTTGGGTCCTAAAAAGATGTCTAATCCTCTGCTCAATGGTTTTAAGCTCACAAGGACAAAAGTAAGAAAACGTCTTAATTCTTAAATGATCAGCACATATCTGTGAAATTTTACTTTTACATTTTCCTGGGCGTTGATGACAACCCGAAATCAGCAAAGTTTTCTGCTGTCCATACTTTTATTTAAAAGATTTAATATGACACACCATACTTTATGTAACTATGATATATTTGTTCCAGAGCTGTCTTCATCTCTTCATGCTATTTCGATTTTCCTCAACCGTATCCCTCCGACACTATCCGCATCTTGAGCAGTCGATGAAAAATCCTGTGCAGATTCCATTCTTTGTTCAACTTCTCTTCCCATTATCCACTCTCACCACTGCCTTTCCATAATATTGAGACACTTGGATTTTATCACTTGGAATTCCTATGATTCAGTAAAACTTAACTTCTATGGGAAAGATTGATACCTTCATTGACCAAAATATTAATAGAAATTGGTGTTCATTTCTTGCTTACTGTGTGCCAAATATTCTTATAACCATATGAGGTAGATCTTATTGATCATAATCGTAAGGATTACAGACCATCATGGAGTGAAAAAAAAAAAAAAAACAGATTCACAGAAGACCTAACCAGTTTTCCTAGTTACTTGTTAAGGAAATGCCAAGATGGCAATCAGATCAAGCAAGTCTATTCATAGAATTTGGACACTTAAAACACAGAGCTGAAAGTATCATGATGTATAATACCAGTAGTCTAAGGTTGTCTATGAAGCTTGGGACAATTCTTGAATTCAATAAGACTTTCAAGGTTTAACAGAGTTCTTATAACAGCTGAAGTATACTGAATATCTAAATTCAGTATCACGAGTAGAAGTGTTTAGACGCCATTTTGCAAGGAGAATCATTTAATGTAACCTATCTACTGGCTTCTTCTGATCAGTTTTGGGCAAACAGTGAGTTCTCCTAATCTGATACCATTTGGCTCCACTGTTGAGACTTAATAAACAGCTCTCATGCATCTGATGGACTCAGAGGTCCAGGTATGTCTAGCTTTGATCAGCTCACTTATACAGCCTCACATACAGTAAGATATGTAAGAGATATGATATGAAATAGATATACAAATTCTGGTATTTCTAAATGTGATGATTATTGCAAGTTTCTCAACCAAACCTAAGATATACTGTTGTTGTATTAGTGTAACTTTTATATTGCTTAGAGTTTTAGGAATTACCTTAACACAGTGAAACAAGCATGGAAAAGTTTACCCATCTAATCATCACCCTCAAAGAAAAGATACTGATGGGAAAAAATCGTCAGCTGGAAGTTTAATTCACTGTCTCACAACAGAAGTCTTTTAGGGCTGTCCACTTCATTCCAAAAAGGTAGGATGAAGTAATTGACATGGAAATTCTTTTAGTTCTTTTGGTTTCTACATGTGTCTCCAAGAAGTCACAGTAACTCAAAGAATTTGCAATGATACATAATGGAGTATTTTAGGGAACTGGTCACATACCCTGAACCATAAGAAAAGTTGACATTTGTGAATAATTCCTATGAGCCAAGAATAGTGCTAAGTGCTAAATTCTAAATATCTTGTTTAAACTCCAGTTTCCATATGAGAACCTAATGCATGAAGGTTTAAGGAATTGTCTAAATGAATACAGCTAGCAACAACTATCAGAGACTAAGAGAACTAAGGATACTTTTGTAAGCACATATTGACAGATAATTTTATATATTGGAAGAAGATGGACAAGAATATGCAATATTTAGAATGGGTTTTGGATAACATAATTCACATGGATTTTATTGATAGCAAAGTAAATATATCCAGGCATACATATTTAATATTGCATCCCCATGTTTCAATGTATCAACCATAGTCATGTGTTTATTTGTTTCATTGTGTGAATATGTTCTATTTCATAAATATGAAAATTTTTATTTATTTTTTATTATTATTATTTTACATGTCTATCCCAGTTCCCTTTTCCTCCCTCCCACTCTCCCTCCCTCCCTCTCTCTTACCCTCTCTTCCCCCTCACATGCACCCTGATTCCCCTCCCCTCCCAGACTTCCTAGTGTCTGCTGGGTTCATGAGTACCTTGTGTTCATGAGATCTTCTTAAACAGAGGCAGGAGAGAGCTACATGTATACTTTAGGATAATATTATTTAAAATCATTATCTCATAGGGAATGTAGACATTCATGTATAAACAACAGTATCCAGTCAGCAGAAGCCTTACACTTTTAAAACATGTGGAAAACAGCAATGCATAGTTATTGCCATGCCAATATTCCCACCATAAGCATTTGATGAGTTACACATTAAGCTAATTTGGGGAAGTTAGATTCCTTGCTTAAATATTGAGTATTAAACTCTTGATAAGCTTAAAACAAAGATTACTCGGGATCTGTCTTTGTTCAAGAGAGGTGCACAGTAAAAAAGATGGATCCATCCAAAAGTAATGAGAACAGAAAAGGCAGCAAAGAAACATTATTAAGTGGGGCATGAAGCAAAGCTATTTTAGCACTTTTGACTAGAGTGCAGACATGTATGCATTCAAATGAGATTCTTTGGGGTTAGAGGTTTTTAACAATAGGGCCTGATGATCAAAGCAGGACAGATGTATGCTGTAATAATTTTTCATCAGCAGACCAACTTGAGCTTTCATTTTTCAAGAAATTCTCCAATAACACCATTTGTTCCATTTTTTGCCTTCCCTCACAATTATTTTGATTTCAAAGAGACTCACTGAAAAGCATAGATGAGTGGAAGAGAATTGGGGACCATGTTGTTCAGTGGATAATAGGAATGCTCTAGAACTGTGAACAAAGTGATTAAAAAAAAAAAAAAAAAAGGTTACATGAGTATTTCACAGTCAATCCCCTTCACACCAGTATGGTGTGAGATGACTGGCTGCAGAGTGTGACTTTTCCCCTAATCAAATCTGATACGACACTAGTTTTTAATACATTCACCACAATGGTGATCATGTGAAATCCTTCATAGGATATCTGTGTATATATAAGCCAATGGTTCTTCAACACAACAGACAAGATACAACGTGACTCATTCTTAGTTCTAACATGCTTTTGCTTACTGACAGTATTATTATTATTAGGACATGCAACATCCACAAGACAATACCTCACCGTAGGCAATCATTACTTGTTTTAGAGATGTGCCTTAGGATTTCTTAGCTCTGTTATTCACAGAGGTGGAGGGTGTGAGTGAGGAGAAGAAAGTACAGTAGTTAGAAGTTATGAAGAATATATAGAAAATGTCAGAAAGGGAAGGAGAAACCCTGAAAAGAGCAGACTTAAAAAGAAATAGTACAAAATGGATAGAAAGACTAGGGGTGGGAAATGTCTGGGTCAGAGGAATTTTAAAAATCAATCTAAGCCTCTCTTTCCTGGATGAAAAGAATACTCATCATAATTGGCCGTGGTGATCTGAAAGAAAATGGCCTCCATAACAAGTGACACTATCAGGAGGTGTGGCTTTGTTGGAGTAGGTGCAGCTTTGCTGAAGGAAATGTGTGACTGTGAGGGTGGGCTTTGAAGTCTCCTTTGCTTAAACTGCACTCAGTGTGATGCACAGTTGGCTTCTACTGACTGTGGATCAAGTTGTAGAAGTCTCACTTCCTTCTCCAGCACATCTGCCTGCATGTTACCCACCATGACGATGAAACTGTAAGCTAGCCCCGATTAAATATTTTCCTTTATAAGAGTTGTAATAGTTAGGTGTCTCTTTGCAGCAAAAGAAACCCTAACTTAGACACTTGGAAAACTTTATAGGATATAGAGGGCTCCTTATGCATCAATTAATTGAATGTATGAGGTCACACAACAGTTTTAAGAGTGTTTCAGTTGAGTCTTTATGGAACAACATTAGCATCTTCTCTTTGTCTTTGTCTTTTAGGAAGTGACTGGCTATGGTTTTTAATATGATGCTAGAGACAAGGGACTAGAAATATCATTGATTTAGTCCTGTCTAATTTAAACAAAAACATTCATATTTAAAATATTTAGATGCATACTCACCCAACAGACAGGAATGGCTCCTTTGATTCAATCCTATAAAATATGAAAACTTTATTTTAATATAACAATATTTACACATTGATTTTATATGAACGGGGCAAAATACTGTAATGTCTTGCATGGAAATGTGTTTACAGCAGTAAAATTATATACATACATTTGCCTAATATATATTACATATAATATATATTCCTAATACATATGTGCCATATATTATATGTGTTATGTGTGTGTGTGTGTGTGTGTGTGTGTGTGTGTATGCATATGCCTACTATAGTAAGTCTACATATTATTGTTCTACTTGGATTCAGGGCAGATAAAGTCAAAGCCTTGGACAGGGAATGCAACTTTTAAAGACAGTATTACAGTGAGAGAGAGTCTAATTCTTAGTTGTACTCCATATAAAACTATTTTTTTGTTAATAGAGGCAGTTTGATTCCAGAAGTTTTAATATATCTACTTTTAGGTGTAATAGTGAAGAGATCTATAATGAATTGATTTAGATATTGGCTGAGTAATTGTTTCCCAAGCATTATACTCTGTAATGACAAGGGAGAAGAGATGTCATAGGCAATCATTTGCTGGGGGTAATGCTCTGGGAGAAAGGGTGATGTCATGCCACAGATTAGGATCTTTCCTTCAAACCTCTAGCTAGGTGTTTCCTGTTTCTCCCAAGAGTCCAAATGCTATATGTAATATAGAAAGGCTGTTTAGTGTGACATCTCCAGAAATCTACTTTAAAGATCTTTGTAGCTTGCTCTTCTCATCATGAAAAAGTACAGAACTGATTCCAGCTAATTTTCTTACCCCAGGTGCCCAGGTGACAATTCCACGTTTTTTATAAAAGGTCAGTTTTTAGGCATTTCTTAATTAACAAGGAGATATAAGGCAGGTGTATGTTTTTTTTTTCCTGTAGATTTCTTACAAAATTATGGGCTAAATTATTCCAATAGTGACATGTTTTAAGTAAATACTGACATTTCCTGCTAGGACAACCACTCAAGCCAGCAAACTCCAGGGCTCCTTGTTTTTTTTTTTTTTTTTTTTTTTTTTATTTAAATTTGAAACAAGCTTGTTTTACTTGTCAATCCCAGTCCCCTCACCCTTCCATCCTCCCCCATTACCCACCCCAATCCCCATCCCATCCCATGTATGTTCCCCAGGGAGGGTGAGGCCTTCCATGGGAGTCTTCAAAGTCTGCCATATCATTTGGGGCAGGACCTAGACCCTCTCCCATGTGTATAGACTGAGAAAGTATCCCTATGTGTGGGATGGGCTTCCGAAATCCACTCATATAGTAGGGATAAATATTGATCCATTACTAGAGGCCCCATAGACTGCCCAGGCCTCCTAACTGACACCTGTAAGGGGTATGGTTTTTTCCTCCCGCCGCCTGGTCTTGTCCTGCTGCCGCGCCAGCCCCAAATAATGCACAGAGACTCTGTATTTGACATTATACTGTTGGCCACGTACTAGTTTCTTATTGGCTAGCTCTATCTTAAGTAGTAACCCATTTCTGCTGATCTATGTATTTTCACATGGCCTTCTCTTACCGGGGAGGCGGCTGGCATCCAGCTTTCTCCAGACTCTCCATCTTGACTCCTCCTTCCTCTTCCTATTTCCTCCTTGTCTCCTAGTCCCTCCTATCTTCCTTTCCTATTGGCCAACAGTCTTTATTATTACTCAGTATGAGAAACATATACAGAATGACATCTCCCATCAGACACCCACGTTCATGGGGTCTGGGTCATTCCTATGCTGGTTTCCCAGCTATCAGTCTGGGGTTCATGAGCTCCCCTTGTTCAGGTCAGCTGTTTCTGTGGGTTTCTCCAGCCTGGTCTTGACCCCTTTGCTCATCACTCCTCCCTCTCTGCAACTGGATTCCAGGAGTTCAAGGCTCCTTTTGTTTCTGTTTCCTCAGCATTGAGATTACAAGTGTGCCACCATGCCTGACTGCCTGTGGAGCAGTTCATTGGCTGACTGTTTTCCTCAACCTACAATTATTTAATGTACACGTGATAGGAAGCTTAAATATATACCATTTAGTGAAAAAGTTGTTGGTTTTATATATTCAGGCAGGTAACTGAAAGACATGACTGCATCCAAATTAGACAGCCGTGCCAATAGTTTTCCCCCATTCCTCTTGCATGTATCAAGCCACAAGCTACTGGAAATAAACCTCAATGCATGAGGACAGAGTTTAAATAAACCCATGTCCCAGCACAGAAGAAGAGCCTTAGCAATTCCCTTATACAGTCACCATGAAAGAGAAGCCGATGCCTTTTCCTTTTGTGAATTTTAAATATACACATTTATTTGTTTAGGCAAACTAATGACATTTTATTTATTTTTTTTATTTTGCTTATTATTCTTATGCATTTGTGATATCGTAAAGCCAACAAATGTAGAGGAAAATTGTTGATGTAAATAATGACACAGAAGACTGTTTCTTAATTGGACCTGTGCTTTCCATTTGACAATACTGAAAAGCAGAGAATTTATGGGAATTACTTCTCCAAAATTATCCAATGATTTCAGCTCGTATCATCTATTGTTTTGAGACTTCATTTTAAGTGTGTGATCTGCTTGTGTTAGGTGAATGCTTCAGCTTCCTCAGAACGTCACTGAACAGCATTCTTTAAGGATTCACAGACAACCAAATAAATGCAAGGCAACCACTGTGCATTTACTTGCAATGTTCCAAAAGCTAAGTTTAGAATGTTTGAAATGATGGTTGTTGATTAAATGTTCTTATATTTCATAAGGTTTCAGATATGCCACTGTTACATTAATATATACAGGGATGAATGTGATATCGCTGCCCTTAGAGATTACTAATTTTGGCCTGATTATCCAGCTCATTATTCTCCTTCTCCCCTTATTACTTCACTCACATGATTGTCCCCTTGTAACTGTTAACACTAATCATCCAATTGACAGGGTTAAGAATAAGTCTCTGGATATGACTTTTAAGAAATTTCTAGATTGAGTTGAGGTTGGAGAACCCACAATAATTTCGACATTGCTATTCTATGTCTTAGGGTCATGGACTGAATAAAAAAGGTGAATTGGAGTTGCACAACTGCATTCTTCACTCTCTGATTCCTGACTCCTCATGCAGAGTGACAAGATATCTCATGTTCCTGCAATGAGGGACTACACCCTCAAACTGAGCAAGAGTAAACTTCTTTTTCTTAAAGTGCTATTGCCTACCATTTTGCCACAGAAACAAGGAAAGTAACCAATACATATTTCAAATTTTTTTTAATTCAGAGATAAATGCAGAGCTTTTAAAATGATTTTTGATTGCAGGCTTTTGTGTTTATTATACAACTTAGGCATATAAGTCAAATGTTGTTCACTATGTAATTTTATGTCACAGACTATGCATGTTATTCATAGTTTTAAATAGTAGGAAAATTCTAAAGGAAAGGTAATATTTTTGTGTCTGTTGAAATTAATATATAATTCCAAATTCAATATTTTTAGTAAGCTCCTGGGAACAGGAGGTATTTGATTTATGTATTGTTCAAAGATAAGTTTGTGCAACAGGAACATGTTGAAGTGTTGGAGCATAAACTGTTTATTCACTGTCTTGTGTTACAAGTAGGTTTTTTCCCCAGCCACAAATAATACACAGAGAGACGCTGTATTTGATACAATGCTCTTGGCCAGTTACTTGTTTCTTTTTGGCTAGCTCTGTCTTAAGTATTAGCCCATTTATATTAATCTAAGTATTTCCACATGGCCTCATTTTACCGGAGAGAGCACCTGGACCTTTGTTGTCTTGAGTCTCTATGTGCTGACTCCTCCTTACTACTACCACCTCAAATCCTCCTTGTCTCCTAGTCCCGCCTATCTTGTTTTCCTATTGGCCAACAGCGCTTTATTCATTAACCAGTATGAGAAACATATTTACAGAATAACATCTCCCATCAGTCTTGTAGTATTTTTTTCATGCCTCTTATAGAATGCTTATCTTTCTGTGCACCTTGGTCTAATATGGTTTATGAACCAAATAGGAAAGATGATGATACCCATTAGTCATGCTAAGCCATAGAGGTTAAGCACTAGGTCCCAACGTTCCTAAGTGTCTTCATGGTGATGCAGAATAAGAGATTGTAAAAAGGAATTGACATTGGCATAATAACACATCTCCTAAGTGAAGACACTAGAGAAGAATATCACAGCAGCCCATGTTGAACGTCCCTCTGCTTGGATGCCACATGTTCATTTATGGCTCATCATTTTTGCATCAAAGTCTCCATGCATGTGATGTCAGAAATACTGTCTGCACTCATGGTATCCAGATACAGGACAGACACCCTTACCAGTTGAAGGTGCTATTGTGAACAATGGAAATTGTGTTCTCAGAGCAGCTTACAGTGTTGATAGCACTGACTGGAGGCTGTGTACAAGTTTATGCTAAAGATGGATTGCCGACACTGAACACAAACTACCAAAGTGTATAACAAGCTCATTTTAGTTCTGAAAACTGAAGAAACAATATAAAAGAAAAAAGCCATGAGAAATATCCCTTCAGAGAAAAATTGTTTCTCAATTTACTGCTTAGAAACAAGTGATTACATTGTGATATGCCCAGAGAGAACCTGTCTATGAGTTTTTATAAAGTAATTGTTTTGTGGAGAAAGGGATTGATTTTTATCTTTCCTAAGATTTAGTTTTCACAAGAAGTAGGTTTTGAATTTAATAATACGTTATTCAGAGCCCACGAGAATTTAGCAGTAGAATAAAATAAATGCACCATAGCCTCTAGAAGAAAGAAGTAGGCAATTGCAAAGAGTTAGAGCACAGAATTAAGATCAATAAGGAGAATTAAGGAGATTAAAGCTATATTTAATTACAAACTAATTTATATTTAATAGACTAGTCGTCCTTCAAAATGCTTCATAATCACTGACTTATTCAAAGGTTCTAATATTCTGTGAAGCAACTCTTATCATCCACATTAGGAAGCAGACCAAAAAACTATAAATGCATACTTTCTTAAGCCACACAGCCGATAAGTGGTT